TGCTTGGAGTCCTCACTCAGCTTCGCTCCCATCGCCTTCTTCAACGACCCTGATACACACTTGACGTGCACCCCGGAGGCGAGACGGGCAACCCGGATGCAGGCAAAATATAGAGATATGGCGTCGTTGGCAGGGTGAAAGAGGTTTCAATGATCGTAGTGTTGAGAATTAGTTTACAGTTGAAGCATTGGGAAGCCACTAGCAACGCTCACCAACCTTGGCAATGGGCTGCTTATTTCAAGCTCACTTGCCGCTTATCCGAGTCGATACTGGTTACCGTAAGTCTTTGATGGAAAGCCACGTTCTGATTGGCGCCCATCGAAGTGGGGCTCGTATTGCATTTTCCGTGGTGCCCTGCACCTGAAGCTCTGCGGTGTGATGTTGAAGGCAGTTATATCAGTTCATATGGCTATTCAGCTAGGGCCTCCATTCATAAGTTCCGCAGTCATCTCGCAGCATCTCCACCTCCAGAGGTTCGGGGTACCTCGGTAACCACTTCCAGTTTGCTTAATGCGGCAGAGTTGGATGACCGGGCTCCCTCAACTGCACTTGTCATTGGCCTTGGCTTTTCTGAAAGGGTCAGGTGTCACGAATATTCGTTCTTTGCGACTGGGTATCATGGGCGAGCCACCTGGATTCACCTGACCGCGAGAACTTGAAGGAAACTGCACAGGTGAGGCTACCCACGCTGTGCACGGACGGGCAGTATGCCGTCGATCCGCCACATGCTTTCAGAGTGAGTGGCAGACGTTATAAAGGCTTTGAAACCATCGAATTTGTTCTCAGCTTCGTGATTTACTCCATGTTACCACTTCTGCTCCCCGCTCTTTAAATGGTACCAAAGACGAGAAGGAAACCATATGAAGCCCACTATCCCGTCTTGCTCTACCACCAGGTGGCAGCCTCGGTGCTTCAGCAATTCCGACGAGGTAATCAAGAATCTACCATCGTCATCACCATATATGGCAGTGCTCGTTCCTGTGACTGACAGAGAGGACATGCGAGGCATCACCTGAGCACCGCGTATGATGTAGGGACCCTACCCCGCAGCCGTTCCTGTATCCCCTCACTCTTTTTTGGAGAAATTGCGCTTCTGCCGACCCGTTAAATTGCACCCTTGCCTACTCGGATAATATTACACACTTCAGTCTGGCTCTTCCTATAAGCGCCGAGCAAGCCCTTACATCTAAGCTAGTTCGCAATTGTGTGTGATGATTTCAACGCATGCGACTAGAGTCAAGGTGCCTTGACTCTTGAGGATATACATTCATACAACAAATACGCACTTGACCATACTGGATGGCGGACCATTTGCGTCGGAGAAACTTCAAGCCACGGAGGCTTGGTGTCGAGTTGCCTGCGAATCCGAAGCAGGTCACAGTGGTGAACGAAGCCTTCAACACTCAATTGAGCAATTGCTCGCTTGGGCTCCGAGGCACCCGACAGGGGCGTTCGAAGGGAACAGGATGATATACTCGACTATGCTATGAGCCGGGATATCCCAACAGATGCTTCTTGAAAACCCCTATATATCGAGGGATTTCCCCGAGAATTTAGGGTAAAGGCAATAGCTCATTGCCACTTTTAACGCCCTCGTCAAGCCCATTCTCTACGATGAATTTGCCATTTGTCTCGGATGGCTCGCATCTGCGGCTTGCGTTGTCGCCCAATGCTCCCTCCCCACGACCTACAACTGGACCTCAACAGGCGCGCTCGTACAGCCAAAATCGGGATGGGCTTCCCTTAGCGAATTTACCGCCGTTCCCTATCAAGGGAAATACCTTGTTTACGGGACGACCTACAGCGTCTCGCTCCAATGGGGCTCCATGGCCTTCAACCTCGTCAGTAACTTCACTGAGTTGGCTACCGCAACGCAAATACCAATGGACAAGCCAGCTGTCGCTTCCACCCTCTTCTTCTTTGCACCGAAGAACATTTGGGTACTCGCCTATCAATGGGGTGCAGGAACATCAGCGTTCGCGTACAAGACTTCCAAGGACCCAACGAATCCAAATGGATGGTCTTCTGAGCAGCCCCTCTTCACCGGTACCATCGAGAAATCCGGTACCGGCCCAATAGACGCGGCGATCATTGGCGACACAAGAACATGTACCTCTTCTTCGCTGGGAACAATGGCAACATCTATCGCGCCAGCATGCCCATCGGCAAATTCCCCAGAAGCTTCGGAACCTCCTCAACCATTGTCATGTCCGAGGGCCAGGCCCTCCTGTTCGAGGGTGTCCAGGTCTACACGATCAAGGGTCAGAAGAAGAAGTACCTCATGCTTGTTGAGGCTGTCGGAAGGCAGGGACGATACGTCCGCTCGTTTACGGCTACGAGTCTTGATGGAGACTGGGCTGCGAATGCGGTGGAGGAGAATAACCCGTTTGCTGGGAAGGTGAACAGTGGTGCGACGTGGACGAACGACATCAGGCAGGTTGAGATCATCAGGGACAGTGCGAACCAGACCAACACCATCGATTTGTGCAACCTTCGAGCGCTCTATCAGGGGAAGGACCCCAATGCAAGTGTCTTCCTACCTTACCCTATGCGACCCGCTCTTTTGACTCTCAAGCAACCTGTGTAAAGTGAGTTGCCCGTTTTATTCTCAAAAGGCCATGGTTAAGCTCGCTTGCGTCATAGATAGTCGTCTCCTGTATCATTTGAAGTGGTCAGAAGGCAAGCGATATATATCGATGCTGCATAAAATAGGCGGATGATTGACAAGACTATCATTCCAAGAGTATTACCGTAGTAACTCTACGTTTTGCCAAGGGGTTTTTTCTACTTAAACGGGCGAATGTAGAAGTTTATGAGGCTGCAGCTTAAGCGCCGGGCAAGTTATGAAGTTCACACTCCGACCCCACCCGCTGGAATTCGTGGTTTGAGAAAGCTCGAATGACGAGAGCGAGCAATTATCGATGCCTCAACGCTTTCCATTGTGCTGGCAGGCTGGTTATATCTAAGTGATCATCACAAGCTGGCCAAGTTAGTAACTCAAGTTTCGGTGATTTTCTTCCCGTCGGAGGTTCTCATGAGTTCAAGGAAAAACTCCGAATTTCTTGTCTTCGAGTTCGATAATTAGACTGATTACCACTCGTCCCGGATCCACAAATACCTATCCTGTGCACCTTTGCAGTGTCTTCGTATTACCAACGCTGTCTATACCTATCGCACTCTGCTTTAGCGCCAGAAGACTTATTGATCTCTCAACCAGTGGCTGCTCCCTCTGAGAATGGGTGAAGCTGCATTTAGGGTAGAACCCTCCAAGGCCTGTTTCTGCACACATCAAATGGTTGTCTCAACACGGGGTGGTTCAGGGCTTCTCCCGGCTCGATCATCCATCCGCTCGTACATTGTATGCGCAGTCAGGAACGGCACCCAACGCACCTTAACTTTACATGATTAAATCACCGTCATCAAACCACTTCAAATTGCGAAGCCTGATAGCAGGGCCTTTGTGTCTGATGGGAAGAATCTCATTGAAATGTGTAATTATCCGAGAACGTCAGGGTGCAATGTACCATTAATGAGGGCGGGAGGGCCGATCCCGTCGGGGAAACTCTATGTCCTGACCTTTGGTGGCGAGTTCCTTGCAATTTCGAAGCAAGTCTCAATGAGAATCATCAGAGACAAGGCCTTTAGTTCAATTGCTCGCTTGACATCCGAGGCACCCGACAGGGCGCTCAAGGGAGAAGGACGATGAACTCTATGAACTATCCGGGAGTCCCAACAGATTCGTCTTGGGAGAACACAAATAGTAGAAGCCTTTTACAGGAGGTGTGGAGCCGGTTCTCCTACTTAAAGCACGCTACCAACGTCCTCGTTGAACCCATATCCCATGATGAAGGCCGCCATTTGTCTTTCATGGCTCGCATCGGCAGCTTGCGCCATCACTCAATGCTCCCTCCCCACAATCTACAACTGGACCTCCACCGACGTGCTTGCACAGCCAAAGTCGGCTGGACTGCCCTCACGAGTTTACCACCGTTCCCTATCAGGGGAAGTATCTCGTTTATGGGACAACCTATAACTCTTCGTTCTATTGGAACTCCATGGCGTTCAGCCTCATCAGCAACTTCACCGAGCTGGCCACCGCAGCCACAAATGCCAATGGATAATCCTGCTATTGCCTCCACCCTCTTCTTCTTCGCACCGAAGAAGCATTTGGGTCCTCGCTATCAATGGGGCTCAGATGGGTCAGCGTTTCTCCTACAAGACGTCTCATGACCCCACCAATCCCTAATGGATGGTCGGCTGGACAGCCCCTCTTCACCTGGTACCATTCACGAAGTCTGGTACTGGACCCCCTTGATGCAGCGGTCATTGGTGACAGCAAGAACATGTACATCTTCTTCGCCGGGAACAATGGCAACATCTATCGCGCCAGCATGCCCATCGGCAAATTCCCCGGCAGCTTCGGAACCTCCTCGACCATTGCCATGTCGGAGGGTACCGCCCTCCTGTTTGAGGGCGTCCAGGTCTACAAGATCAAGGGCCAGGAGAAGTACCTCATGCTCGTCGAAGCCGTGGACAGCGTGGACGCTACATCCGCCTCGTTCACTGCTACAAGTCTCGATGGGAATTGGACTGCGAATGCGGTCACTGAGAGTAGCCCGTTTGCTGGGAGGGTGAACAGTGGTGCGACGTGTGGACCAACGACATCCGGCAAGTCGATATTATCAGGGATAGTGCCGACCAGACCAACACTATCGACCCGTGCAACTTGCGGGCACTGTATCAGGGCTGGGACTATACCGCGCTTGCCTGGAATCCACGGTCTATTATGCGGCCTGCTCTTTTGACGTTCAAACAACCGGTGTAACGTCGCTCGTTTCGTCAAACGGTTGTGGTCAAATTCATTTGCGCCATTGATCAGAGACTCGTAATAAATTTGTCAACGTTTCCTATATGATTGTACATTTTGATCACCATCCATGTTACTTTGTGTTCTATCGAGCATCACTTATAGGTTCAGATTTGTATCTGACTGGCTACATGGTGAGCTAGCCGAGCGGCTAGGCGCCTCTATGATGTGGTGAGTTACAAAACAACGGGGGTTCGAGTCCCTCTCTCGCCATTTAAGATAGCTCGACGCGACGTTTTGCTTAATTCTGTCAAGATCCAGGTCGAAATAGGCTGGTTGTCGCTGGTGCAGATCGGTGTGGGCTCCTCAGAAGCACTTCCCCTGGAAATGAGGGGGAAGTAGGTAATTTTTACACTGATGCTGCTGCTCATTTTTGTATCTCCCCTTTCTACGCACCTCCGTCCAGTACCCTTTGTGCATCAGCAAGTGTGGCGCCTTCGTTCAGTCTGATGGACTCACGTGATTAAGTTTAGGGCAGGCCAGCTCGACAACGACGTGTCACCGCTGCCTGGCCATCATACGCAGCGCTCACAGACTTTTTGATTTCTTCTCCTATACACGCGATTCCCAGCAATCGCCCACGATGAAGCTCAAGGATATTCGCCGAACGGCGACGTTTGCATGGTCGCCTTCAACCTCGGAGCGTCACCCGTTGCTGGCGACAGGAACCGTTGCCGGCGCACTGGACGAATCTTTCAGCAATGAGAGCCAGCTCGAGATCTGGGATTTGATTTCATGGACCACTGAGTACGAGTTGGGCGGTGATGGTCAGAAGGGTCCCAGGGCGTATGTAAGCGATACGGCCAGGTATGTGCTGAGTTCATGGGTTTGTGAACGGAAGGGAACTGACAATGAGTTGTGGATCAGAATACAACCGACTGGCTTGGGGATCTGTCAATAGCACCTACGAAAAGGGTGTCGTCGCCCAGCTGGTCTTGAACGGATGAACTAGCCCTGTGGAATCCGGCTCAGATTCTGGCTGGTGCCGATGTGCGTAAACAGTATCTGGATGTGAGGATCTGAAAGGCTAATTCGAAATCCATACAGCACTCGTGAACGCTTGATTCTGAGGAACACGATTCACACCGGACCTGTGCGACGGGTTGGACTTTACCCCTCTGCAGCAGAATCTGCTTGCGTCTGGTGGCGTAGCGGAGAGGTACGCCCCCTATTATCATCCTCCCTGAGAAGTGTATTGACGTGAATGCTTAGGTCTACATTTGGGATCTGAAAGATCCAAGCAAGCCGTACACTCCTACGCCTGGTACTCGCAGCCAGAAACTCGACGAAATCACATCCGTCGCATGGAACCAGAAGGTCCAATATGTCCTTGCTGGAGCAAGCAGCAATGGGTATACCGTCGTTTGGGATCTACGAGGCAAGCGTGAAGTCGCTTCGCTAGCCTACGGTGGTGGCGCTGGTACATTGGCTGGAGCTAGCCAGCTTGGTGGAGGGATGGCTGCTGGTGGAAGGAGAGGAATGAGCGATATCGCATGGCATCCTGATAACGCGACCCGTCTCGTGACGGCATCCGAGGACGATTCTTCACCCGTCATCATGGTCTGGGACTTGCGAAATGCCCGGGCTCCCGAAAAGGTGCGGAGATTCTCCTTCAGAAGCGAAAAAATGAGGCTAATCACCCTGATAGATTTTGTCTGGCCACGAGAAAGGCATCCTATCACTTTCATGGTGCAAGCACGACGCTGATTTACTGCTTTCCTGTGGCAAGGACAACCGCACCCTCTGCTGGAATCCTCAAACTTCGGAAATCATTGGCGAGCTCCCTCCTGCTTCCAACTGGGCTTTCCAAGTCGACTGGTGCCCACGAAACCCCGACATCCTCGCCACTGCCTTCTTCGATGGCACGATTGGCATCCATTCCACCCAGACGACCAACCGAAGCGGCCGCAAGCCAACCCCACCAGTCTCCGCTCGCCCAGAGGGTCCGATATCTGGGGTCAGCCTGCCCAGCAAGCCTCTGGTGGAACCTTCTCCCTCAAACAACCACCCTAAATGGTTACGCCGACCCGTTTCCAGCACGTTCGGATTTGGCGGAAAGCTCGTTTCGGTATCCAACCTTCCCGATGCACAAGGTCAACATCAGACCAGTTCGTTCACGTACGCAGCGTTGTTACCGAACAAGATTTCGTGGAGCGTGCCAAGGTCCTCGAAGCTGCCATCACAGGTCAGAGCGTGCAAGAATTTCGCGGAGAAGAAGGTGGAAGGATCGCCATCGAACGATTCCTGGAAAGCGCTCCTCAGCCTCTTCAAAGCCAACTTCGAGAGAAGAGCTCGTAACTTTACTTGGATTCTCCAAGGCAGAGATCGCTGCTCGTGTGGCTGGAGGCGGTGGACAACTTAAAGGCGTCCGCGGCGCGTGTTGGCTGCAGAGCAAGAGGAGGATATCACCGAAACCGACTGTGGCGACAGGAGAAGACTCACGAACCCGTGGTCTCTTTTGCAGAGCCCGAGAAGCAGCAGCAGGAGGCCGCATCGGACAGCGAGACAACGGAAAGCATCGATAACGCCCATTCGGAGACCGCTTCCCTCCGCCAACGCGGACGCCGAGTCAACCACGACTGTTCCTAGCCTGTTTGGCTGAAGGACGATGGACCTGGTACACCTCAGCTCGATGCCGGCCAGGATTTCTTCAACACCGTTGGCATCACTCAAGATAATGGTGAATCCTTGCCTGTCCATATCCCACACACCAACTACCCCATCGATTCGAGTGTGGCGGCGACGATGGGCTCGAGGCCTTCCTCCGCCGCCTCTGCTGGCGCTCTCTCCATCAAAGAAAACAGCTTCAAGATCTACCCAGCCAACGAATCCGAGACGGACCGTCTCGTGACCAAAGCGCTCGTATTGGGCGACTTTGAGAGTGCTGTCCAACTCTGCCTCTCTTCCGATCGTTACGCGGATGCGATCCTCCTTGCTGTCCGTGGCGGACCCGCGCTGTTGCAAAAGACGCAAAAAGCCTATTTCGAAAAGAGGACGACAGAGTTGCCGTATTTGCGTCTCTTCCAGTCGATCGTGACCAATGATTTGGCGGATATCGTGCAGAATGCGGATTTGGCAGAGTGGCAGGAGATCTTTGTGGTCGTTTGTACCTTTGCGAGTAGCGAGGAGTTTGCGGGTCTTGCGGAGCAGTTGGGGATGAGGCTCGAGTTCCAGGGTGGTTTGCTCAAGGATGATGAGGACTCGGATGAAGAGGAGGATTCGGACGAGGAAGATTCAGATGAAGAGGAGGAGGTCGTCACCAAGTCCAACCATTACAGGAAGAACGCCACTCTCACTTACCTCGCCGCTGCTAAGTTGGAGAGGCTAGTGAACATTTGGGGAGAGGACTTGGTAGAGGAGGAAAAGATTGTCCTTGCAAGAGGAAGCGATCAAGGCGGCTCCCACTTTTCGATTCATGCCAACGCACTCCTGTCGTTTGTCGAGAAGGTTTCCATCTTCAGGGCTGCGACGAGTTACAAGGACGAAGACCTCAGCGCTCCAGCAGCTGCCGATCCCAACGCAGCCGTCAAGACCTACAAGCTCGCCAGTCTCTACGATCGCTACCTAGAGTATGCCGAGTTGCTGAGCACTCAAGGGCTTCTGAAGGAGGCAGCAAGCGTCTTAAACCTCATCCCTGCTAGCTACAAGGGCGGTTCACCACACCTGGACAGGAAGGCAGAGAGGGAGAGGTTGTTAGTTGCGACGGGAGGAGGCGGACGCCAGGTCCAGGCCCAAGCCGGTCCTTCCAGGTTGGCTGGAGGAGCCCAACCTGCCTATAGTGGATATGCACCCAGTATACCCTCGCGCATGGCCCCAGCCCCTGCACATGCAGCTCCTGCGTATACTGGATACCAGGCCCCTGCTCCTGGTCCTTACCAGGCCACTACTACCGCGCCACGTCCCTACCAGCCTTCGAACCCTGCACCAGCACCTGCGCAAAAGCCTTACGCCCCACCTCCAAGCAACTCGTACGCACCTGCTCCCAGCAATAACGCCTATGCACCTGCCCCCAGCAACAATGCCTATGCACCACCTCCCAACACGAACAACGCATACGCGCCATCTGCCAATAACCTCGCTCAGCCACCTCATCTTCGTGACCAAGGCTTCAATCGTGGACCAGGTGGTGTTGCCCCTCCCCCAGCTGGAATGGGTGGCATTCCTGCCCCTCCCCCTCCTGCAGGCATGACTCCCCCACCACGTGCCCCTCCCAAGCGCGATCCCGGAGGATGGAATGACGCACCTGCAGTGATGAACCCCCCGCCTGCAGCCCGTCCTAGCAGCGTAAACGTGAACAAACCTTCGCCCATCACAGCGCCATTCCCGAACGCTCCCTTGACTCCTGGCTTTGGCAGCCCTGTCCCTTCACCGTACATGGGTGGACCTCAGGGTGGACCACCAGGACATCAAGGAGGACCACCTCAAAGCGCTGGGATGCCTCCCCGTCCCGGAAGCGTGACTGGACGTGGCAGCGTCCCTCCCCCTCCCATGGGTGCAAGGGTGATTCACCAAGCTCCCGTTGGGTATCGACCTCCTTCCGTTGTGCAGCAACCTCCTCCACCGCCTCCAGGGCACGGAGGGCCTGAACACTACGGTCCTCCCCCTGTTAGAGGTCCTTCGGGTGGTCCTCCTCCCCCTCCTGGACCCTATGCTCCTCATCCTGGTATGCAGCCCGCTCATCATCAACCTCAGCCTCCTCCATCTGGACCCTACGCACCACCACCTGGCGCTGGAGGTATGGGAGGACCGATCCAGCCACCCCCAAGACCTCCGTCCAATGCCTCGCAGTATGCCCCACCTAGGCCCGGTTCGAGTCAACAAGGTCCACAAGGTCCTGGAGGACCCCCAGGAGGTGCCGGCGGTTCCACCACCCCGTGCCCCTCCCGCTCGCCAGGGGCCACCTCCTCCAAAGTATCGTGAGTCCCAATTGTCGTCCAATCGCGATTCAGGCCTGTGCTAATTGATTCTCAGCTCCCGGTGACCGAAGCCACATCCCAGACCATGTCAAGCCTGCATACGAGGTCATTGTTGACAACCTGAACAGGATGAAGCAGATCACGCCTGTGAGTCTTGTCGAGTACCGCGGGGGGATGTGTTCTGATGCATAATCCTCGACTTGTAGCCTCAGCAAAAGCGTATTGTGGATGATTTGGAGCGCCGCTTGAATGGCCTCTTTGACCAGCTCAACTGCGAAACGTTTGTCGCAACCTGTG